AAAGGCCTTTAAGCTGGGGGTCAACGCTGGAGGGCAAGCTTATGCAATAGGAAGTAGCTGAAGGGGGCCTGTAAAATGATATCCGGGGTCAAAGGGTCTCTACACCACAAAGGAATAGAATGGTGAATAGAAAAAAGGGATAATGGGGGTAAATAGGAAGGAATGGGGAGGCTAGCAGGGATTCCTTAGGAATTCAATCGCGCCAGAGGAGCAAACCAGCATGAATTCTGAAGGAAATGGCAGGCTAGCAAATCCTATTTAGGAGAAGGCAGGCTAGCAGAGATTCTTTGGGGAAGGGAAATGCAGAGATTATTTATGAAAGGGCACGCTAGCAGAGATTCTTTAGGAATGAGCAGACTAGCAGAGAATATTTAGGAACACCTAGCCGGTCCATAAAAAGGGAATGCTAGCAGATATAATTTCGAGAACTACCGGACTGGGCAAACTAGCGAAGATCATTTAGGACAATCCAGCCATTGGCAGGCTAGCAGAGATCCTTGCGGACCCAGATGCTCACCCGGGGATCTTGATGATCCCCCAAATGTGTCGAGATTTGCATAAACAATGGGTGGGGGCCATCTGGGGAGGAAGGGATCTCTGCTAGCTGACCCGACACCTCAGAAACAGTAAGTTATAAACAATTTTAAAGGGGTGGTGAAGGCGAAGAGAGACAGAAAGAGAGCGTGTGAGAGAAAGGGAAAGAGAGCGAGTGAGAGAAAGAGAGAGAGAGAGAGAGAGAGAGAGAGAGAGAGAGAGAGAGAGATAGAGACGAGAGACAGCGCGGGAAAGGGGAGATGATGATGATTTTCAAGATTCGCAGCCCGAAATTACTCTAAAGGCCCATTGAAGTCAAAATATTTGTGTATATTTTCGAAAAATTGAGAATTAATCCTAAAAAATTCTCATTTCCGGCCGTTCTCGCAGTCCCGGCTGTTCGGCCATAGGGAGAAGGATCGATAAGGAAGAGGAGAGGGACCCATCTACTATCACTTATCGGCATGGGGGAGGGGATTCTAAAATGAGAGGCCCTATTATGACTCAATGCGCCTCCTTTGATAACGGATTTCCGCAAAAGGTCGCTGCTAGCTTGCCGGGTAAATGGTATTTGAAGGCAAGCTAGCAGCGATTCCTTCGGAAATTTGAAAGGGCCTGGCTAGCAGAGATTTCTTGAGGAATTCGAGCGGGGCGGGCTAGCAGAGATCCTTCCGGAACCCGTGCAAGGCAGGCTAGCAGAGATTCTTTGAGGAATCCGAAAGAGGCAGGCTGGCAGAGATTCCTTGTGGGATTCAGCAAGGGCAACTAGCAGAGATTCTCTCGGAAATCGAACGGAAGACTAGCAGAGATTTTTTGAGGAATGTCAGATGGCGAGGCTAGCGGAAATTCCTTGACGAATTCGAGTAGGACATGGCCGCAGATATCCTTCAAAAATTCGTTTTGGGAAGGAGAGTAGGGCAGGCTAGCAGAGATGCTTTGAGAAATTCCAACCCAGCAAGCCAGCAGAGATTCTTCAGGAATTCCAAAACAGCAGGCTAGCAGAGATCATAAATACTACCCCAAGTACTTCTCCTTTCTCCAAAATCCCCTTATCTACTCTCTAAGCTCGGGGCACCCATCCGGGATTTTGAACGGAAAAACGGAACGCTTATCATCCCAAACCAGCAGGAGCACGGATTCAGGGACTGAGAAGTCTGTATTCCATCGTAGAAATTCAGAGTGCCGCAAAGAATATCTGCTCGCCTGCATGGAAGGCTTTCTCTAAAGGGCTTGGCAAGGCATGGATGAGCAGGGAATGTTAGAAAAATGAAAAAATTAGAATTCCGCAAAGAATCATCCGCCTGCTTTGCCGGCCTCCTTAAAGCAGCAATGGATATGAGGAAATGATCGGAATAGCTCTGCGGGCTCTTCAATTCCCTGGGATACGGTAGGAGGGGCGTGTCATAGATGGGGGAGGGGAGGGAAAAGCCTCCTCTCAAGACACTCCCGCCCACCTGGGCCTCTCAAAATCCCCCGGCGAGAGCTTGTAGCCCGGCTTTTGGTCAGGCGGAACGCAAAAGCAAGAGCAAAGCAAAAGCTAGGCGTGGCGGGGATCGAACTCGGGCCATATGGTTCGTACTAGAGTGTTAAGCAATCGACCAGCCAGTGAAAAAGTAAGGAAATGGTCCAAAAAAGACAGAGAGAGCGAGAGAGCGAGAGAGCGAGAGAGAGCCAGAGAGCCACAGAGAGAGAGAGAGAGAGAGCGAGAGAGCGAGAGAGAGCGAGAGAGCCATAGAGAGAGAGAGAGAGAGAGAGAGAGAGAGAGAAAACGAGAGAGAGAAGAGACAATCCCAAAGACAATCCCTCCCCAGTCCCTTGAATTCCGCGAAGCTCCCCAACCCCCCACCACCCCCAACCCCCGCCCCTTGACGATCAGCGGCTATAAAAAAGATCGATGAGCACCAGCGGGGGGATTGAGCGGAATTGAGAAAAGAAGCGGAAAGGGGAACGCGTAAATCTTGGATTGGAAAGATTGTGGGAAGAATAAGAAGAGACGGTGGATAGGAATCAAGTGGAATGGAACTGTTGATTGGTGCTTCGTGGAATATAGGGTCTGTTAAAGGGACTTGGAAGGAAAAAACAGTTACGAAGATTTTTGGAAAATCGCTAGGCGGCTTCCTAAAGTATCTCTGTCGGCCTACCCTTTCCTAAAAGATCTCTGCTACTTTCGCCTCACGAAGCCAGCTGTCAGCGCGCCTTTAAAAGCAACCAGGGCTTCAACATCTAGGGCAAACTAGCAGATTATTTGGTATGTTCTCTGGTTGCAGCTTTATAATTTTTGCGCGAGACCAGAAGCGCACCAGAAGCCCTACGACTGCTACGAGAGAAGCTAAAAACTACAACACAGCGTGTTACCCCCGAAAACCGCGAAAACTGAACAAAAACCTACGTAGCGCCGTTTCCGTCGCCAAAGAGCTAGAATCACAAGCATAGCATTAGTGCGCCGATGGCAGACAGCAGCCACAAACAGCCAAAATCGTTTCAAAAAAGCCATTAGTCTCAAAACAGCGTAAAAACTACGGCAGTATCGTAAAATTTTGCACGTCAGCAAGCGTAGCGGCGCGTAGTGATTATAGAACTGATAACCGATAATGAAGATATTTGGCTAAGTCGACAAAACACACAGTATCCTCCAAAAAATTAACAAAAATCTAGAAAAAACATTTAACTCAAAATTTAAACGTTAACAGGCGTAGCCTCGCGTAGTGATTATAAGGCCGATGACGGATAGTGACGATACGTAATACAAACGAAAAATCAGATTGGTTCCCCGCAGAAAAATCAACAAAAATCGAGAAAAATAGAAATTTCGCCCAAAATTCCGACGTTAACAAGCGTGGCGATTATAGCCGCGATAACAGAGCGTTTCGTAGCCCCTTCCCCGTCGAGATGGTCGGGGGTATGGGTGGGGGTTGGTGTGGTGTATCCATCAGAGGAGTGTGGCCGCCGTGTGTCTCCCCCCCGCCCAGCCGCGCGACATAAATCACCACACAGCCCCATCCGAAAGGCCCTTCCCTCCTTGCCTTTCTTTCTTTTTCACAATCCTTCTCTTCCTCTTCCCTTCCACTTCTATCAAGACAGAAGATAGGCACTGACTGCCAAAAGACTCGCCGGGAACACCCCGCAAAAGACACATGGCCATCGGGGAGCAGGAGCCTTTCCGGGAGCGGATTCTGAAGCTTGGAAACGTGAGGGGAAGGTGTGTTTTGGGCAAAAAGCAAAAAGTTTTGTAGCGGTCGGGATTCGAACCCGGATGCTGAAGATGGGAGGCGAGTGCTCTACCAATAAACCATCTCTTCAACCGTGTAGACAGAGACAGGAGTCTGTTCAACCTCCAGGCGCCCTAGTGGGCCAGGTTGGGGAAGTTTCAATGCACCAAAACCCGGCAAATGAAGATTCAAGCATTAATGAGAAGTATATTGTACTTAAATATTTCTAGACTCGTAAGAGCTTGCATTTAATACGCCATTTAATACAACCGCCACCAGAACAGGTGCAACCCCGCGAATGGCCGTCTTTTAGGCGCTAAAGTAAATCATCGCCCCGATCGCTCCTCCCGATACATGTTTTGTATTTTAATGGCCACGGGGTAGTGGGGGACTTCAAAGAGGCCGCCACGTCGGGGATCGATCATCGCCTCGTCGAGGTTTTTAGGGTTTATAGGGGCTGGAAAGTGAAAATGATGTCCAAATTTGAAGCTATTTTGCCCTTTCCGTTACCATTAGCAGCTCTTTTAAAGGAAAACCTTTAAAGTTCGCCCACAAACCGTCTATTGAAAAAGTTCCTCCACGAGAGGAATCGAACTCGGACCCTAAACCTATCAGTCAGCCACGCTAACCACTAGGCTATCTTTGAACATGGTTAACAATGAAAAATAAGGAACCACTATGTCCTTGCCAATAGACTCTCCAGCTGTCGGGTGGCCCTTATGGATATTTAGGGACTGCGAACAGGGGGATTACGGTGGATGGAGGGGACAGGAGCGAGAGAGAGAGAGAGAGAGAGAGAGAGAGAGAGAGAGAGAGAGACGGCACAGATGATGGATTGACTGACCAGAAGGAGGACATAGGGGCCACAACTTCACAGCTAGACCACACAACAACCTGACAACAATAGCGGAAGGGAGGGGAGAAGCCGAAAAGAACCTAAATGATCCCTGCTAGCCCGCCAATTCCTAAATAGTCTCTGCCAGCTTACCATTTCCCAAAAAAGCCCTGCTAGCCTGCCTTTTCCCAAATAATCTCTGCTAGCCTGCCCTTTCCTAAAGAATCTCTGCTACCCGGCCTGACCGAAAAACAGATTTACCCCTTCCCTGCCCCCTAGGTCCAAAATTACGGCCCATAACCGCGGGGCCCAGTGACAATCCAATCAGGGCCCAGAACCTGAAAACTGGCCCATAGCGCCCCAGTATTCCGCAACCTTCCCCTGAACGTTTTCCGTTTCTGGATCTGAGCTCTAGTTCTATAATGCACAGCCTAATCCGCGAACAGCTCCAATCGTTCCTTTATTCGTATAAGAAGCCGACAAGAGAGGTATTTAAGGCTATACCTGGCAATAGACACCGCCGGATCGCTACGGTTTAGGAAGGGCTTCCGGTGGTGTATGATGCAGCTGAAGATCATGCTGAACGCAAACAAATCGCTTATCGGGATGCGGTGGAAAAGCTGGAAGTTGCGAAGGTAAAATTAGGCTTTATGACCCCCACCGCTAAACTCAGCTTGCATAAAGCCCAAGCCTAAGCCAATCCGTAGCCTAAGCCTAAGCCTTGCATAAACTTAAGCCTAGGTACTTATAAACCGAACCCTAAGCCTAAGCCACGTCTAAGCCTTATGCGTAGGGTTAAGCCTAAGCTAAGCCTACGCATAAGCCTAAGCCGAAGCCTAAACCAAGCCTAAGCTTAATCCTGAGCCTACGAATGAGCTCAAGGCTAAGCCCAAGTCTACGCCTTAGCCTAAGCTCGCCAAGCCGAAGCCGAAGCCCTAGCCTAACCCAAGCCAAGGCTAAGCCTAAGTCTAAGCCTACCTAAGTCACCATCCAGGTGTTCCTTTCGGCCTCTTCCTCCACCTCCTTCTCATTTCCCTTCAATCATCCCAATTAGTCTCCCCTCCTTCCCCCACCCGGCTGGAAGAGCGCATTTTAATGTGCCATAAAGGCTGATGTGGCCCAGGGTGGAGGGCCAATTCAAAGTTTAAACAGTGGGGGCCCCTGGTGGCGATAAAAGGTGGATTTTATCCAGGTTTCGGTGGGGAGAAGGCCCCCATAAATGTGTTTATCGCGTGATTTCCCGGTGATTCCAAGGGCTAGTGGATGGGGTATGCAAATGTTGGTGAAATTAGGGTTTAGAGGATACCTATATTTTTGAAATTGTGTTTTTTGACGTATTTTTATCTAGAAAATTCAACACAATCGAGAACCTGCAAAAAACTCGCAAAATTCCCTCGCAAAAATGTTGGAATTACCGTAAGCTCGCAACAAGGATGTGAAACGCTAAACTGAAACTAAAAAAAATGGCTAGTTAAAAATAATACCAAAATCTTAAATTATGAACTAATATCGCGAAGCTCCAATTAAAAATCCCGAATCACAGTAAATGCCGAAATGCCGAAAAGCTAGGTTATCCAAGGAAAAACGTCAAAATCCCGATCGCCAAAATCCCGACAGCCCCTAATCACGATAGTTAAAATGCCGACAGCCAGAATCCGGACAACCAAAAATCCGATAGGCAAAATCCCGACAGCCCTAATGCAGACAGCAACAAAAATCCCGACGGCCAAAATGCCGACAACCAAAATGACATGCAAAATAGCTGTTCAAAAGAGGAAATGGCATGAAATTAGCGTCGAGAATATGTCGTACATATTCTCCTATCGGCATTTTGGCTGTCGAAATTTTGGCTGTCGACATTTTAGCTGTCGGCATTTTGGCTATCCGTACTATAACTGCTATTCGTTTACTCTTTTGTACTTTCCAGTCCCTTTAAAACACCTCCAAAGCTTCAAATCTTAAGGCCCAATTTTTGTAGCCCCCAATGCCGCGATTTTGGCCATTCCTCAGCTTCACGGAAACCCTCAGGCAGGCTAGGGGGGACTATGGAGATTCCATTTCTATCCTCTTTCCATCTGCCCTCCTCCAATGCCCAATTGGCCGTGCCCCAAATTGGAATGAAGAACGGACGGGGATTTTTGTATGGAGCGGATGGAAGGGGGCAGAAATGAATTTATGGGATGAGGGATGGAAGGGAGGGGAATAGGTCCATGTCAATCAACCGAAAACGATTTGAGGGAGGGAAGAGCGAAAATGGGAATATGGTGGAATTTTGAGGGGTCCGGAAAACATTTGTCGGGTTTTTGGGCAAAAAGCAAAAAGTTAGGCGTCGAGGGGATTCGAACCTGGGTCGTGTGCGTGGGAGGCGAGAGCTTTACCAATGTACTACAAATCAATTTTGCGCTGATAATTCAAAAATCTAAGAAAATTGTTAGTAATATCAACATTTAAAAAAGAAAATTAAGATGGCGTAATCCAAAATCACGGCATCGAACATAGTTTAATCTAAAAAAAAATTGAATAAAAACGCCTAATATAGGGATAGAGGAGCGGAGCTCGGAATCTGATGGAGTTCAGGGGTCTAGCAGACCTTTGTTCAGCTTTTGGTTAAAAAGCAAAAAATTACGCCGCGAGGATTCGAACCCGGATCATGTTCGTGAGAGGCGAAAAATTTACCAATACACCACAGGGGAACAGGGTGTTTTTAGGTGGTGAATTGGCTAGTCTCGGCGCCTATCATGTCAAGGTGCAGGGTTCGAATCTTTCTGGTGCAAAAATTTTTTGCTTTTTTGTGAAGACCGACAAATAAAGAAATCTCTCCTTTTTCAGCGTATGAAAGTCGGGTTTGCCGTTCGAGCAAATCGAGATTACGATGGAGCCCTCGACCGTCACAGCCCTCTGATTGACAAGACGATCTCATTCCACAAATCCCAATTCTTGCATATTCATGCCGTAAGTGGATAAACCAACTACAAGCTACAAAATATTTTAGAGGTATTCCCCGGAATGGTGGATCGGGCGGATTGTGGAGAAAAAGGGCAAAATGGGCTTCATCCCGACGGCCAGACGATTGGGAAGGATGGAGAAGAAGATTGTTGATGAGGATGGGGGGAGGATTGGGTACGGTGGTTTTTTGGAAAAAGGGAGCTAGCAGAGATCCTTCAGGAAATTCAAATATTTTGGGCTAACTAGCAGAGATTCTTTGGCGATTTTTGGGGAAATTTGGGGCACTCTAGCAGCTATTGTTGCGCAACTGGCACATTCGAGGGCAGGCTAGCAAGGACTCTTGAGGAATTTGACAGTTTTTAGGATTAGAGGCGAGCTGGCAGGGATCATTTAGGAATTTAATAATTTTTTAGGATGGGATTTTTGAGGAATTATTCGGTTTTTGGTAAGCAGGCTAGCAGGCATCTTCAGAAAATTTCGAGCTGGTGGGATAGCAGAGTTGGCTCTATACCGGTAACGGGGACTTTGTATGAAATCGGGGATTTTGTGCGAAATCGGGGATTTTGTATGAAATCGGGGATTTTAGTTTGGAATCTTCGAAATCGGGGATTTTACCAGAAATCGGGGATTTTTCCCGAAATCGGGGATTTTAAAAAACGGAAAATTTGCTCGATATTGGAGCCGCCGAAATCGGGGATTTTAAAAAGGGCCGATCGGACGGGCTGGCTTTCGGCTGAATTACGTTTAATTTTTACTTAGTAAAACATTATAAATTAAACTCTTTATTACTATAATATACTGTAATTAGTATTACAACATGCCAGAGGGTACTTTATCGTGCAGCCTGGCTTTGAGGAGTCCAAAATCCGAAGTATTGTTGCTCTATTTTAGAACTATAATTACTATTTAAATTCAAGTCTGTACATTTAATAACGAAAATACTTTATTTAAGGCTTATTCAGCCGTTATTTCAGTAATATACGGTTGAACCGGATGGTGACCGCTTTTTAGCTTTGAATAATAGGACTTGAGGCTTCTTCGGTATGTTAGAAGTCCCGTACGTCAGATACGTTTCTAACAAATTGATTGCACAAAGTATTCTAAGCGAAGCCAAGCACATGGAGTACTAACGACAAGAAGTGGTTTGATAGCGCTCTAAGTTGATGTGAAAGCTAAGCAAAGACTTTTGCCGCGGCCGGGGGTCGAACCCAGCCCTCCCGATCGGATACATGCCTCAACGCCAAACTTTTTTCTGGGCACTACTCTCTCGCCGGGCCATCTGCCAGACGGGGCTCCTGGCAGTACAAAAAGTACATCTGCGTATCACGCAGAACGGCGCACTTGCGATATTTTAGTCTTGGAAACATTAATAATCAAAAAACAAATACTACCGTTCGAGCGCTTTTTAATAATAAAGCGTTTTTGACAAATAATATATTAAAAGTTTCTAAAATATCAAAACGTGCTACTGAATTTTATGTTAAGTAACTAGTCTCGTAACTGAAGAAATTAAAATGGGTTTGTCAATATTTATTTTTTTCTACGTAGTAAACTGAGACTTTAGCGGCACAAGTTTGTTTTATTTAATTAGATTTTTATTTAATAAATTCTAGTCCCACCTTTTGATGATCAAAAATGTTTTAATATTCGTTTCCATTAGAAGAATGTCTTGAACCATCGGTATACCTGCCTGTGTAATACTAATATGCATAATATACGTAATTTTATTAAAAATGATTTATTTTGTTGAGATTTATTACACAGTTTGAGGGGAGTCTACCTGACCTGTTCCTACAGAAACCTAATTTTCCAGAGTCCTATAATTACGTCAGAAAAGATATAATGCATACGGCAATACACTTTGGATGGGATAACCTGAAAAGTACATTTCCAGACGAATACGTTTTCACTACAATCTCGATTCTGGCAAACTATAATGCGAAATCCGGACGATATTTGGTACTTTTGATCTTATAGTCAGAAACATTTAATATATTAGTTTCCAAAAACGCCTGAACGCTCGAAGTTTACAAGTTGCTGTCTCGGTCATTAGTGCCTAGAACGCGCGGACAGATGTCCTATCAGCGGTAGATTGCATGCGGGCGACGGACGCAAGGCCAAGATTTCATAAGTGCAGCTTCCCCGGTGCCATCTGCGCATCTGCCAAGGCCTCCCCGGTAGCTATTGATAACATGTTGCCGCACTAATTACCTAACAAAATCTTGGAAAGCTATAGCAACGGCTAATAATAATAGAAAACAAACTGTAAATTAAACTTTGAAAATCCGTAGCAACGGCTAATAATAATAATACCAATAATAATAGTAAACAAACTGTTTAAATACATAGGATGATCGGAAAGTTCTTGAAGAAAATATTTTTTTATACAATACTCAGTGTCTAGGTAAAACTAATAGAGACAATTTTGCACATGGTAAAATGACAATCCAATTGGAGATTTCAGTATCACAATCTTATTAATTCGAGGAAAAATATAAATTAGTGAAATAATTAAAAACTGGACGCCAGGGTCTCCGGGTTTCATTTATTACTTTGATTATTTAGTTTTTAATTTTTGCGTTGTTTTAATTAGATCTAACGAGTTTCAACTGCCCGAGTTAAATGACATGTTGCTAAAGCTCGCCAAATGCCTACGGAATTTCTTATTTACGAAAAAAACAATGGATTGTTCGCTATTTTCTGCGGCATTGGTTTTATTTCATAAGATTTAGCACGAAAAATGGCTTCTGAAGTACACTCTACTTAGCAAATAAAGCTATTCCATCTGATGCCAAAATAGTTGGGAAGCTATTCGCGCCTGCACTTATGTATTTCCAAATTTTATACTTACTTACAATTTTATTAATATTAGCCGTTGCTATAGCTTTCCAAGATTTTGTTAGGTAATTAGTGCGGCAAAATGTTATCAATATAGCTACCGGAGAGGCCTTGGCAGATGCGCAGATGGCGCCGGGAACGCTGCACTGATGAAATCTTGGCCTTGCGTCCTGGATCCGATTGCATGCAGGTCAGGCGGCTTGAACATCTGCTGGTTCGGGGTAACGAGAGACGCAGAGAAAGTTTGGCGTTGAGGCCTGCGCCCCTCCCGATCGGGAGGCACGGTCGCATACCAGTTAGCCACGGGTGCAAATGGCGAGGGGCCGAGGGGAGCTTCACCCCGGAAAGGAGGAGAATTGCCTCCCACTCCACGGGCAGGCCGTGCGCGCCGTCCCTACGTCCATAGGGTGTATACTTGAGATGTTATTATTCAAATCAAATCCTACTCAAATCCGATTTGATTTGAATAAGAAGATTTGAGATTTGATTCCGCCGAAATCAAATCTGGATTTGATTTGCAACTGGCTGGATTTTCAAATCAAATCCAGATTTGATTTGAGAAACTTTCAAATCTGCAGTCATTTTTACGGATGTAAATCACAAGTCGTGCACCAAAAAAATGTAGGCAAAAGAGGGACATTTTTGATGTTTTGCATATGATCGTAATCGAATAAACCGGAAATTGCTGATAAGCATCCATTTTCTCGCATTTGCTTCGGAAATTTGGGTTGCTCATATTAATCAAATCAAATCGGTCCAGGATTTGATTTGAATTGGACTTCCGGTTCAAATCAAATCCGATTTGATTTGATTCTGCCGGCAAATCAAATCAAATCCTACTATATATAAAAAAATAGTGTTTGTGTGTTTGTGTGTGTGTGTGTGTGTGTGCCACTTTGCATCCACTTCCGTCTGTCTGTCCGGAGGATATCTCAAGAAGGGACGGGTATTAGGCTACGTATGATACGTCATTAGGTGCGCAATGGTCTTGGGATGACTGCACACCTAACAGATTTTACAAAATTATCGATTTTCGACATTAAATTTAAGTTTTTGTGAAAGCTTCTTTGTTAAAAACAATTAGCATAGACCGGAAGTGGGGACGCGACTATATTAAGCGGCAGAAGAAGTGGTTTTTCATTTTTTGCCATCTGAATTCAGAACAAGTATGCAAAGTGAAGGATAAAACGGGGTCAGACGGGGCCAGGGTTGAAAAGTCGCGAAGCGGCTTTTCAACCCTGGTCTGGATCTGATTTGAGAAACTTTCAAATCCTCAGATTTGATTTGAATAATAACATCTCTAGTGTATACGTTGGACAGAGTATACGGCCCCTCCCTGAACGTGCGCTTTAAGCTCGCTTTCAGCAAAGGGACTACCGGACTACCGGACAACGTTTATTATTTCCGTTTCTCGCCGTCTCGAAATCGGGATTTCAGCCCGTCCGATCGGCCCTTTTTAAAACCCCCGATTTCGGCGGCTCCAATATCGAGCCAATTTTCCGTTTTTTAAAAACCCCGTTTTCGGGAAAAATCCCCGATTTCTGGTAAAATCCCCGATTTCGAAGATTCCAAACTAAAATCCCCGATTTCATACAAAATCCCCGATTTCGTACAAAATCCCCGATTTCATACAAAGTCCCCGTTACCGGTATAGAACCGCAGAGTTCTTTGAGGAATTTCACCCCCTCCTCTGGGCTAGCTAGCGACGATTCTTTAGGAAACCTAGGTTCAGGTCAGTTGAGTCCAGACTAGCCTTTTAGGCTCTCGGGCAAGCTAGCAAAGAATCTTTAGGACGATGGTTTGATCGGGACAGGCTAGCAGTGATTTCTTAGGAAAAGGGTGGGCTCGCAGATATTCTTTACGAATTCTTGTATTAAAGGAAACATGAAGTGACAAATCTTTTGCAATAAAGCGTCTATTTTAGCCCCTCATCCATCTGGGAATGCCCGGCCCCATATACCGTAGTCCCCTCTTCGAGACCCGTCCTCTTCATCGGTCCAGCCTTTCATGGCTCACAGGTTCGATCAAAGGATCACAAATGTTATTAATTTTTCATTTTTTTTCCGGTATACTCCAAACTACAGCACTTTACTTAAATCCATTTTCATCCATTTTTTTATATCACCGACATGATGCACACGGCCCTCCGCAGCGAGATACAACGACGGATGGGAGATCGGTGCAAGAAGCTGCAAACGGATATTGGGAGGAAATATTTGGGGAGAACGGATTACGGTAGGGCCCTAAAAGGTGACCTGAGTACCGTAATCTTTAGAGGAGAATGAAAAGGAGTTGAAGGCGATCACGATTCTGGCTGAGGACTTGAAGATTTTGCTACTTGAAGCTCCGCATATTAATACGCCTATGGGTGAGAGAGAGAGAGAGAGAGAGAGAGAGAGATAGATGATAGAGAATGATAGACAGGTCGATTCGAGAGATTCTTGAGATTACTTATTTCGTCTCTCAGTGCTCCTCTCCTCCCTCATCCTCCCTTCCTTTCTCACTCTCTCCTTCTCTCGCTCTCTCTCTCTCCATCTCTCGCGCTCTCTATCTCTCTCTCTCCATCTCTCGCACTCTCTCTCTCTCTCCATCTCTCTCTTTCTCTCACTCACTCTCTCTCTCTCCTTTTATATTTTTTAGACCTAAAAGACATCCACCTGGCCCCCATCATCGTCCAGATTCGAGTCAGCAACAGAAGTGTAAGCTCTTGGAGTTCAAAAATAGTTGGGGTGCCAGCCTTACGAGTCCCCTTAAAAGCCATATTCCAGGTGCTGATGCGGTTGATGAACAAGACGGGCATCGGGGCCAACAACAAAAAGACCGAACTTGCCGGTGTTGATGCGCTTAGCGGGTAATTAAAGGGAACTCAGGAATTCTAAAATTTCGCCTTCTGAGTCGCTTTAAGGTTAAACCTGATCCTCGGTTTCAAATTTGTTTTAAAGGGCCCGGGAAGGTATAATTTTGCGCAAAAGCTAGGGTTTTATGATTTTCAGCAAAGATTCCTTTCCGATTCCTTTAAGTCTACAGTAACCCTATTTTTTCCTAAAATCTGTCCTTACGGGCCAGGAAATCTAACGTTCTAAAAAAACGCTAACAAGGAGCCGCTTTTAGGTGCTTTTGGAGTTTCTGGACCGGACCTAGCTAGTTCGATAGAGAAAAAAATTATGAACATCATACCATTTTCAAAAGTGCTGATCGATAAAGGAATTTTTAGAAAATTTCATTTAAAGTTCGCGCTTTTTCTAGTTTTCGGGCCCATTTCCTCGGTTCACGTCGTTTTCGGGGCTGGGCAAGGCGCTATTCATAACATTCCGCCAAGGCCTCCATCACATGTTGCATTGGCGTATTGGTAGCGCGCTTGCCTACCAACTTTTTAACATTTTTTGCCTCGGGTTCGAATCTTCGCGCTGGCTAACCGTTTGCTTTTTGGTTCTTGAACCCGCTATCGGCGCATAAAATTTTAGTTAGCAAAAAAGCAAAAAGTTAACGATAAATAAGAATCGAACTTGTGGCAAAAGGCAAAAAAAACCTCGTAGGCCAACGCACTAACCACTTGGCCATGCCTAGGACGGGATCCAGGGCGAGTGAAGTCCCCATGTGGCAGGGGCGGTCCACAGCCGCAAATCACCTCAAATCACATCAAGGGTCCGGATACCGGGAACGTTTTTAATTAAATTAAATTTTCTAAAACACCTTATCGATCAGCACTTTTTGAAAACGGGATGTTGCTCAGAATTTTTTTCTCTATCGAACTAGCTAGGTCCCGTCCCGAAACTGCAAAAGCACCTAAAAACGACTCCTTGTAAGCCCTAGCTCTAGCTACAGTAACCCTATTTCAGCCTATCCCGTGACCTTGTCGATGTGATCATTGAGGAAAAAGGGCTAGCCGAGGCGACAAAAAGGTACATTCTTTGCTGGTAGTACCGTAACTGGGGCACCATTTAGGATGTGCTCCTACCTGGAGGACTACTGGGCGGCCACTCATCCACAGTGGCAAGAACTATAAATCGAGACGAGAAAAAAGAGCCACAAAATACTGTAGATTTCTGCAATTTCCCATAAATAGATGCTATTTTCATGCTGAATCAATGGCCAGATTTTCCCGAAATCAGGAAAAAATAAAAATCCAAAAAACTTTGCCGGAAAGATTCGAACCCTCGAGCCCGAACATGAGAAACCGACGTACTAGCCACTACGCCATATTGTCGACCCCCTAGAACACGTTTTTTAACTCCAACAGCAAAAAGCAAAAAAGCTTGCACCTGAAAGATTCGAACCCGCACCTTTAGCTTGATAGACCAACACGCTGACCATTAGGCCATGACGACAAAATAATTTTATTCCTCAAAATTTCCACTTTCTCTGTGTCCCTGCCGCTTTAAATGTTGCGGCCTGTCCGACGCTCATTCCACCGTAATCACCCAATCCATCACCCCGGGTCGGCTTGATCAAAAGCTTCTCCCCGCGGCCAGGTCGAGCTCCCCGAAAAATGAGAGGCGATAAATTAGCGGGATATAGTGGATACGGCTAGCAGGGAAGGCTAATTGGGATTCAATTAAATATCGGGGGGCCGGCTAACTAATTTGAAATATTTTAAAATTTATTTAATTAAATTTAAAAGCTAAATTTTATCATTTAGATTTTTTTCAGACTTCAAAGTCCCTTTAAAACCGCCAAAAACACCTCCAAGGCCGACCCCATCGCATTATACGGTCTCGAATTGTATCGAGAGGGGGTAGGGGCCTCCCACACAGAGGCAACAACAATTATATTGCCCATTTAGAGCGCTAAACCTCTGGGTGTGTGACCTTCAAAAGATCTCTGCTAGCCTGCCCTTTCCTAAAGAATCTGTGCTAGCCTGCTCTTTCCTAAAGATTCTTTGCTAGCCTGCCCATTTCCTAAAGAATCTCTGCTGGCGTGCCCTTTCCCAAAATCATCTCTGCTAGCCTGCCCTTTCCTAAAGAATCTCTGCTAGCCTGCCCTTTCCTAAAAAATCTCTGCTAGCCTGCCCTTTCCTAAATAATCTCTGCTAATCGGCTTTTTCTTGAAGAACCGGCCCTTGCTCAAATTCCGCAAAAGATTTCTGCTCGCCTACCCTCCGATTTCGCAAAGAATACCCGCTGGTTTGCTCAGGATTCCTCCTGGATCTCGGCTAGTCTACCTGTTGATTCCTCATAGGATCTCTGCTAGCCGGCCCATTTCCAAGCATATGTGAAAATTACGAATTTTATTTTATTGTTTTTTTTTTGATCCAAAACAATACCCTGAACGACCCAGCCCTGCCCATATTCATGGCTGTGAAATGGCTGTAAGTGGCGCTGGGGAGATCTTTCTTCTTCTGCTTTCCCCGCTCCTCATCCCCCCTCCATTTACAGTTCCTCAAGCCGCGTCAAGCCGTTTTGGGGTCACCGGCCCTCAATCTACCACCCAAAGAAGGGGGCTCGAAAATTGTAACCGACGGAAGAAGGGGGCCATCCATGGATTAGAGACCCTGAAATGGTACCAACGCTTTGAGTCGACCTTCGCCACGCTCTCTCTCTCTCTCTCTCTCTGTCTCGATTGACGTTTCTACAAACCCTCAATCCACTGGCCCACTTCTGCCACTTCCTAAAGACAGACCCAAAACTCTCCCTTCGACACACCCTCCCCCCGCCCCAGGGCCAGTCATTTTCTCTCGGCCACTTCATTTTCGGAAT